TGTGTAATTAGTAATGGTTGTAAAATGCAATAGAAAAAAAATAGAGGGAGGCAAAGAATGAAGGATAAAGGAAAGCTTTTTAAATTCCTCTAAACTTTGTGAAGTGAAAGCCTAGTTGGGGTGGGTGGGGAAAAGACATCAGGAGGAGGTGGCGGAGGTGGAGGAGTGATATATGGACCAAATCATAAATGTTTGCATTCGCTGGTTGAAAATATGCTCAGATGTGCACCGCTGTGAAGTCCAAAAAGTGCCTGAACAAGTAAATCTATCATATCCTCGGCTCCTTAATTAGGATGCACGTCTCTTCGGCAGCTAAAAAATTAATTACCACCTTAAAATCCCATTAATCATCGGCGCAGCAGAAACAGGACTGTGAATCTGGGCTCCGCTAATAACCGGCAACCGGGGAACCTCTTGCTTTAGTGGCTGCTGGTGGGAGTGAAGGAGTGGGCCGGGATGTGTTTTCTGAACTGATAATATCAACATTCATTTGAGTGCTTTGGCAAAGGGCGCGCGGGGAGGTGGGGGCAGAGGGAGGCCCAGCTTAGCCTACTATGAGCTTAGCTCAGCAAAGCTGCAAGAGATGTCTGCGCGCGCGCGCGCGCACACACACACGGAATGCTGGTCAGGTGTTGCAAAAAACCCACCCGGGCCTTTCTTCAGAACAGCAGGATAAGAAATCTGATGGGAGCTGGCAGAACTAAAAGGCCTGTTTGTTGGAGTAGGGCTGCTTGTGGGGAATAGAAGTTCAAGAGTCAACATTTGTCAAAGGCCCTGTCTAAATTCACTGAGAGCTTTCAAACAGTGAGGGGGAAATTGAATTTTCCAAGGCCCTTCTCCCAATCCCTAGAACCAGATGGCAGACGAAATCACCTTGACCTGCAGCTAGGAAGCCTCTCCGCACCCCCAGCCAAGCTTTCAAATCTCCTTCCAGTAGAAAGAGTATTTTTAAAGAAACCTCATGTAGGGGAAGCAGATTAGTGAATGTACAATTAATGCCAATGAAACTCTTAACTTATTCAGAAATACTGCATCAGAAGAATTGCTTTATTATCCAGGGCATGCGTTTTTAGATTGGTTTCATATTATTCGCCATCCAGCTTTCCCTGCTTGATATATGTATTTTCATTTCCACTTCACCTGCGCTGTGACCTTGGATAGCGAAAAGATGTTCCTGCTAGACAACGTATGGCGAAGAGGTAGAGTAAATCAAGACGCACAACAGGAAATTGAGTATTTAAAGCTCCCCTTCCCCAGCAACTCTCTGGTGGTGAAGGGCGGGGTCGCAGTTTAATAGGTTCCAGGGAACCACTGTCAGAAAAGAGACATATTAACAGGCCAAGTCATAATCAGCTTCCTCGGCGAAATGCCATAAAATCAAAGCTCTTAAACCTTGGGACTATGTTGAGGAAAATGCCAAGGGGGAAACTCTGGGTACTTCTGGTGTGTGTGTTTAATTAATAATGAACAGTGTTGTTAATAGATAGATAGATAGATAGATGTTGGTAAATAAAGACTGAAATGCCAGCTGCAGCCTTACTTAGCAAAGGGCAATGGAGATGGCAATTTCCAAAGCCGAAATTAATTATATATTTCAGAAAAGGCCTGACTCCTCAGGGAGCAATTCGAAACCATTACAGTCAACCAGCCATTAGCCATTCACACTGGTGGGAGGTGGTTTTCTGCCCTAAATGTGGCCAGTCGATTTTTCTGTACTTTCTAAACTGTTGGGGGACCAAAGACATGCACTGTGGTATAACTGTGCATTGAAGAACAGAGATCGGGAGGGCTGGCGGGTTTGGGTTTTTTATAGCACACTGAAAGGAAGTGAGTTTTCATAAAATATAGGTAAGACAATCAAAACAGTCGAGGATAATCAAGGCAGAGACTGCACTGAATTATTTGAACTATGCAGTCAGATTGCAGGTTTAAAATATTTTGCTTGTCTCTTTGTTTTGAAGCCTTGGGAGGGGGGATAATTTATTTTCCTGTCCAAATGGACAGGAAAATGCATACACGCTGCTATGCATAGATATAAGCGCCTCGTTGCCAAATCCATTAAAGGAGTGTGGTGCTGTCCGTGGTGCTGAAAAGGAGAGGGACCGTTTCTTCTACTAAATTTCTTCAGTACAAGTTCGGTAGCTGTCCGTGGTGGTGGTGATACCTTTCTGCTTCACAAGCATCAGACAAGGGTTGGAGGCGAAGACGAACGTTGCAAGATTTTAAAAAATTGCAATATCTTATTTCGATGTTTCTCTGGTTGGATGACGATGCGGCAAACCTCCTAAAATGCAGGTGACTGGGAGGAAGAGGTGGGGAAGGAAACAAGATGAATAAAACCTTCCGCTTTAACAAGAGATTCCCTCTCAAGTCTAGTATTAGCTGATATGTAAGCCAAAGGTTACAGTGGAAATGGTAAACGCTTTAAAAATAAAATAAAAGAGCAGCTTTAAATCCTGAACTTGTATAGTTTTCAGTGATCCAATGTCTTCATGTCTAGAGACACCTGATAGGATTTATATCAGTTCCTTAAAGTATGAAGACACTTCTTAATACTCTCAGAAACTGGGTTGCACACTCTCTTATTCAGTTGATCTTGCTCCAAGTAAAGCAAATGAGCAGCAAATCCAGGAAACAGGCTATCTCAAAGGCACGTTTGCCGGCGAGATATTCCAACTGCACACTGAAGGAGTCGCTAGATATCCTTGTTTTCAGCATTAGGTACGTCTTCCTCCCTGCAAGTGCTCCAGTATAGTCAGATCGTTTGATTGAATTGCCTGCTAGACTGCAGAAGTAGCCATTCATGATACTTGTTTTTGACACAGGAGTTAGATTTCCATCTTAAGAAAACGAACCCAAAAAACCTAGCAATGTTTAGTTATCCCTTAGTAGCAGGTAGGTTTCAGTCGGCACTTTGAAGTAAACGTGTGCAGAGGAATGTCAGTGCCTGTAACAATAGAAAGTTACTCGGATTTGCTATCCATCCTATAGCGCGAGCTTCTGGACAGTCACAGGTCCAAATTAAAATAGATGCATTAAGGCTGCAATTCTATTCAGACTTCTCTGGGAGTAAGTCCCGGTAGACCAGTGAGTAGGATCGGAAGTAAGAAACAGACTCTATATTTCTTGATACAGTTGGAACTAGAGAACTTGGTCCTAGATCCAATTGCATAAATAGTCAGTTTTCCCGCAGGTATAGGTGTATGCTTCACTTAAATATGATCTCGGCCGTCTTGATTGATAGAATTTTAGACATTCTACTGCATTAAAGTGGGCTAGCCTCCAAACAGAAGATTAATCTCCATTCATTTTTGTATGGCGATAATAGGAATGATCTCCCCCACCCTGTCTCACGTAGTTAGTAGTCTGATTCATGGAAGACTTTCCATTAGGGCTATATAAAATGCGGGCTTCTCCTCTACCAGTGTGTTTTAATGACTCCTCAAAGGTTCAAATCCCCCACTTTTTAACTTTTTTTAAAACCTCCCTCCTTGTGTAGAAAATAAGGGAGGGGGAATCTGCCACCATTGACACTAGTGAATAAATATTTTAATGGGTGGTGGTGGTAGTGAGTAGTTAAAGCAAAGTGATTGAAACGATAGCTACTTAAGAAGGCAAATATCTTCTGCTCCAGCGAAGGCTACAAACTGCACACCACTTACACTGGCACAAGCCCAGTCCTTATATATCAGTGGTACTACTCGGGAGTAAATAGTTTGGGAACTGGGAAACACAAAGCTTTCATTTCAACAGACTGTATATTCCAGTTGTGTTGTAAGTACTGTCCCCCCCCAAAAGGGGAGGCATTTAAAAACTAAGAGCCTTCACAATGCTATTAGCCAGATATTTTTAAAAATGAGGGACGTCTCGAAAAAATAATCCATATCTCATTCACTCATTATTATTTCTGGGTGCACAGTGTAGGTCCTTCAGCGGAGTATAAATTTTTAATCCTAACAATTCCTGTCCTAACGTAGATGTTTAGTGAGTCAGTGATCAAGTTACTATTGAAGGAAATGAGCATTTGATGGGCATAAACAGTAGAAAGTGAATGAGAATGTCCGGACATATGGAAAGAAGAAAAACCTGTTTGTGGATATGTTTTGAAACAATAATAACGTCATCGCCCCCACCCCCAGCTCTTAAACGAAGTGCTGTCTCCCCAGCCAGCCATTCAAAAATTAATACTGATAATATCTGTCTCTCTCACCCAAAGGCTGCAATTCTAACTCCACTTACCTGGGAGTAAGCCCTACTGAAATCAGTGGGGATTACTTCTGAGTAGCCATGGTTAGGATTGCAGCATGCAATTTGGTTGTATTGAAACAGGTCCGCAGCCAGTTCAAGACTTTGTCCTTAGTCCCCCTGTAGCTCTGTTGGGGCTGTGCTGACGGACCATTGTCCAGACTGGGGGCTTGGGCTCAGAGGAGCCAGCATTGTGAACACCTGGAGCTGAACCAGGCACCAACTCAGCCACATTCTTTTTGGGTTTAACTAGGGCTACGAGCCTGGTGCGTGTCAATCTCCTTCCATGGGCGTTCTGCCCAATAACTCCCGGGGCTTCAGATCGGACACCCAGACGGAGTCGGAGACCTCCTTCTGCTCCTTTCCCAGAACACGGCTGGAGCTTATTGGAAGAGAGCCATCAGAATGTTAGGCACGTCATGCAGCCAAGTTGGAATAATAATAATAATAATAATAATAATAATAATAATAATTTCCAAGAGGCGATGGGATCGGTTGCATAAGAGGCCCGGGGAAGGCTTGTGTGGCTGGCAGCCTTAAGGCAAGACGAGCTCTCTCGCTTTCTCGCACTTCATCTTGGCTGCGCGTCAGAAGCCGTGCAGCAGTGCAGCAGAAGGGGAGCCCAACGGCCAGGCGAGTGCCCGCCTCTCGCTCGGCAGCGGTTTCGCAAGCTCGGGTTGCCGATTGATTTCTCTCTCTCTCTCTCTCCCCCACCCGCTCCTCGTCTTTCTCCCCCCCTCCCCATCTCTTCTCGCCTGCCTCCTAGGTTCGCCCGACTGGCCACGGCGCCTGCCTATGCCTGCCCGTGTGTGCGCGCTCGGGTGCGCGTGTGTGCGTGTGTGTGTTTGGATTTCTCGAGGATCCTCTCCCCGCCCCGCGCTCAGCCCGACGACCATGGATGTCCCACCATTCCTTGCAGTTGAAGGTTGCTCCTTGGCGCAGTGAATGAAGATCATGCAGGGATTGCTAATGGCTTTGGGAAGCGGAGAGCCTCTCCCTTCGGTGTGACCATGCCGTGATCGCGTCTCCGGGCCAAACACTTCCGCGGCTCCGCAAGCTCGTGGAAACCGACCGCAGCGGCGGGGCTGGTGGCGGCTGCTGGTGGCGGCGGCGGCGCTGCTGGGGGGGACAAAAAGCGGACGCTTGAAGCGAAGGGGGCCAAGAGGAAAAGCGGCGCGTGTGTGCGTAGGAAACACCATGAAGATTATTTCCCCGATTCTAACTCATCCAGTCTTCAGAGGCACCATTCGGCTCCTGCTTTGCTTACTGTGGATTGGATATTCCCAAGGAACCACGCATGTGTTGAGATTCGGTAAGGCGGCTTTCCCTCCCTCCCCCCACCCCCCGTAACGTTTGCTGGCATCTCTATGTTTCCCGAGGATTTTGCCAAGGAAGGAGGGGGCAGGTTGAAAGGAGCGGGGAAACGCGGGTGGGTGGGTGATGGAGCTACTTCCGGGCTAACACGAGTATGTTTTTGTCTCCTCCCGATTGTATTAAGGCGCCAACTCCAGCCTTCGCCTTCGCCTTCTTTCCCCAGCGGCTGCAAAGCAGAGCGCGGTCGCCCCGGTTTCGATAATCCTAGGGAATTGACTAGCGCCCGCTCCAACCAAGGCGGGTCTGGGCTGGTCTTAAACCCAGCTTGCTTTGTTGCTGCCTCTTTTGGAGTTGCCACAGTGCGGGTGGGAAGCCTCTGGGTCTGGAGGGCCGTTGCTGTGTTCATGGTTGGCAGTTGCCACAAATGCCACCCCCATCCTCACCCCGGCAGTCTCTGCCCACAGAGATGCCAAATGACAGGGCAAGGTTGCTGACCACAGCCCTGGAAGGAAGGTCTCTTCGGCGCTGTGTCTCCTTTAACGTTTGTTTACTAGCAGTTAAGGGGCCTTTGAATTAGAAGGGATCAGGCCGTTTGATAACAGAGAAAATTAGGAAACTGCTTTTCAGGTTCTAGCCCCCACCCTTGACCCCCTCAAATGATCAGCGAACTGGGAGCTGGTAACGATTTCTTCGTTGACTCAGAGAGTGCGATCCATGCACCACGCAAGCCAAATGTCCTGCTTTTAAAGAAGCGTGATTGATACCACCCACATCCCATCCAAATCAATGGGGTAACTTCCACTGAGAATGATCTTCGAGCACACCCGTTTACTCGCGAGTAGGTGGCCGCAAGGCGGGTTGTGGATCACGGGGTGAAGTTTCTTGCCCTCAACACGCCACTCGTGTTCCATGGGGGGTGGTAGAGTGTTTTCCGAGTGAGTGATTGAAGGATCGTGGCCAAAGAAACTCTCGAAGTTTCAGGAGCGTGCCGGAGATTCAGATGCCACCACTGAATCTTAGACTTGCTCCCCGACAGTTCTTCTCCTTTATAAGCTGTCCTTTAACCATCTTTGTGGACCCCCAAAATGTGGACTGTCAGGGTAGAGGAGAAAGGTGTCCACCAGCCACGCTGCAAGGTCAGGGTTTTGTTGTGAATCTCCCAGAGCAACGTTGTCCGAGGAAAGTTATTCCAAAGTTAGCCGAGAATTAAAGCAGACAAAGAGCAGGAAGCAGCGAACCTTGCAGGTGTTTACGGCCCAGTCCTAGAGAGTGTGTAATCCCATTGAAGCCAATGCTGAACTGAACAGTTCTGGCTTTCATGCCGTGGCGTTTGACCAAAGTACTAGTGAGATATGGATGAGGCTTGGGGCAGGGGAGGGTGGCGAGAGCGCGGGGAGTTGCTGTCCCAAGCGAGAGGCGTCCTTAATTTCCCATAGAAGCAATCCTTCTCTCCAACCATCATTAAACATTTCCACTCCGGTGGAGTCCCTAGGGACTCTTTGGTTTCGCTTGTTTAAAACCGGAGGAAATAAATCTGGGTGTCGTAAGAGAAGTCGGTCCTGATTCCAAAAGCAGCGGGTTGGTATTGATCAGCTGTGCTGGATTCTGAGTCGCCCCCCCCCCCGCAGTGATTCTTAAAGTACGTTGCTCTTAGCAACCATCTTCAGGAATGCCCGGATTCCTTTGAATAAAGCTCAAGATGGTCCGGGGGGGGTGGGGTGGGTTGAACTTCAGGGAAGTCTGACCTGTAGCTCGTTGAAAGCAGCGGGGAGCTGTCTGTTGTTTGTGACAGGAGGCACGAGTCCCTGGTTATGACCGAACGGTGGGATCCACTGGGCTGTGAAAGTCAATGCGCTGTTCCTTACGCCTTTCCCAAAAGATGCTCTCCGAGTGAATGGAAGGTGCCTTGCCCGGGAATTCCCCCCCGGTGCTAGCTTATTCCAATGAAACATTGACTTAGAAGAACGTTGTTGATCGATCAGACAGTAGAGGTGACGCCCCCTCTTTCTAAAGGCACACGTAGACTCTGGGCACCTATCAATGCCTCTAGAGTTTAGACGGCAAGGAATATACTACTTCCAAAGTAACGGCCCAATTGTGCACTGACATACTTGGATTAGAACCATGTAATCCCACTGAGTCAAATGTGTGTGTGTCTGAAATCAGTTTAAATCCCATTGCTTCATTTTAACAGGATTGTGGAACAGGTTGGTACTCTCACTTCCCAAACTATTTTCTGCTTCCTCCCAAAAGCAATCTGCTAGGACTGAAGACCGCGTGTAGGTTTAGAATCGCAGAGTTTATCGTTCGTCCCGTCTTCCGTCCCCCCCGCCAGCTAAGCAGTTACATTTTATTGGAGGGAGGGAGCAAAGGTTGCGTGAGATGCGAGGCCTTTGATTGCCAGCTGTATCCGTCGCCTAATGTTGCCAGGAAATGCCTGATGGCTTTTATCGAGGCATTCCAGTGTGTGTTGGGGGTGGTATGCGTGTAGAGGCATAACTCGGAGAGATGATGGAAAACAGAAATAATTGGGGGTTAGCTGAGCGACAAGGAGCTGGATTCTGAGATCCTCAACCGCTGTTGTACCGGCTCCCGCTTTCTATCTCCTCTCTGGAACCAGAAGGGAATCAAGAACCAGCAAAAAACCCCGCACCCTCTTCACCTCTTGCTACTGTGATTGGCATTTCCCGCGGGGTATCCGTCCCTTTCCGTGTTGCCTCTTTTACGCGCGAAAGTTTAGGTGGATCACAGTCTGTGAGAAGCTGTTGCTACCTGGTAATTAACGCTCCATCAGAGGCGTTCAACCAGTTCGGGCCCAGCAAGGCCAAGCGATATAATGGAAGAGCTTGCCTGGGTCGCTGACTCCGTTTGCTGGAGCTCATTATGATGGCACAACAAGCAAACGGCCAAGTTTGTGGCGGGCGGCCTCTGCACAAATGTATTATCTAGCGACACGCAGGCAAGTTTCTTACTTTACAGTCTGCCCGAAGGGAGAGAGACCTAAAAAAAGGGCTTCAATGGAGATTCCTGGGCTTTTGTGTTCTGGACTTTGCACAGTGAGAGGAGAGGCCGATAAGAGGGTCACTGCAGGAGCCTTGCTGCAGATTTCGGTGAAAATCTCGCATTGACGCTCCCTGTGTTAAACAAATAAGGTGGAAATCGGAAGCATAGATTTTTTTTTTTATTGCGTCGGATGCAGAAATGTTCTGTTGGGGCATAGCTATGGGGGCCTGCGTACCCGTATCTCAAAGGACTTTCACCGATTTTATAAATCTAAGCTTTTGGAAGGTCTTTTCCTTCCACAATGTGCTAAGGAATACATTTACTTAACATTGATCTGTCCAATAATTACTCATCACAGAAGGACGCTTAGTGAGGAGCTCCACTGCCTTCAACACACTAGGATATCGTTTCAGTACCACGGTCAGTTCCCGGAGTTTCTGAGCGTCCTGGTCTACGCTCTCTTTTGAGCACCTCGCTATGGAAAAGTTGTTTTGTTCATCCAGCTCCTTGTTATGTGGATTTGCAGTTCTACAAACTGTATATCTTAATGAATTCTATATTATTGAGTCTTTGGGCCATAGTAGTTTAACTTCTGGAAGAAATTTCCTTTTGAAATCAGTGGGACGCCAAACCTAAACATATATTTACTTTCTTCCAGGTAACTACTGTGTACGTTCTGCCTGCTGGTTTGATTAGAAGGATCCAATGGGCTCCTTGCTTCACTCAGGTCCCCAAATCAAATGAGCATCACAGGGTGCAAGCAAGACTTGCACTTCCATCTTAAAAGCATATCTTAAAACTTGAGCTGCCTCTTGATTAGTGACAACATAATTCATCATGTACATTTTATTCCATTGGAAAAATGTTTAAATTTGCCTGCATTCACATATGAGTAAAGTAATAGCTCTGAGGAATATAGGAAACTGTGGGTTTTTTTTGCTTTTGGAAGATGTATCAGTGTTGCTGTAGCCACCATCTTGGAACAGGCATACTCTCTTTAGTGTGTGTGAGAAGAGTGAATGATCCTTTTAAGATTGTGCTTTCCACCTACAGCTTCATAGATCTAGCTATCTATTAAAAAAAAAATCTCTCTCCTGTTCCTCCTGATTAATAGGATGAAATATTTTTAGTTTATGAAAAACTTTTTAAAAAATTAATTTAATGAATTAATTGATTAAACATTGCCCTAAAGGAAAAGGTAAAGGGACCTCTGACCGTTAGGTCCAGTCACGAACGACTCTGGGGTTGCGGCGCTCATCTCCCTTTACTGGCCAAGGCAGCTGGCATACAGCTTCCGGGTCATGTAGCCAGCATGACTCAGCCGCTTCTGACAAACCAGAGCAGTGCATGAAAATGCTGTTTACCTTCCTGCCGGAGTGGTACCTATTTATCTACTTGCACTTTGATGTGCTTTTGAACTGCTAGGTTGGCAGGAGCAGGAACCAAGTAACGGGAGCTCACCCCATCACGGGGATTCGAACCGCTGACTTTCTGATCGGCAAGACCTAGGTTCTGTGGTTTAGGCCACAGCATTGCCCTACTTAACAGTAAATCTCATTGTTCCCACTGGTAAGAGTGATTAGAACAGTAACTTCAGTAATCAGTCTGCTGCAGGGGTTTGCCATACTTTGGGGCCTGTGAACACATTGGCAAACTGGGGAAACTATCACAGGCACACAGGCCCTCTGCAACGAGGTATGCACCACAACCTATTTGATTGGCTACTGGAGCATGCTTGTTTCAAGCTTAATTGAAGCAGGGGCAGGGGCAGGGCATCCTGTGGGCACCAGGGAAGGTCTCTG